TCATCCATCAGGCAGCGGGGGCCCCCAACCTTCAGGCGGAGGAGGGCTCCAGTCCGGCGTACCCATGTCGAACGGAGGTCCGTCTATACCGGGCGGCCCCATGGGCTGACGGCCCCGCTTTGGTCCCGTTCCTCGCTCCATTCGGTCCGTGGACTAAAAAGGCTCAAACACGGGGAGAGACAGTCGCTTTGCCGAGAGCGCTGCAGGGATCTACCAAGCTAAACTAGCTACCGAGTTGGCTAACAAAACAGGTCGAATTTAGAAACAAAGCACATCAGTTAAAGCGACATTTTCGTCTCGTTTAATTTTGTTATTTCACAAATAGTCGGTTAACTGATACACTTGTAAATATTTTTCATTGGAAATTAAAATGTTTAAGGCGAAACTACACACACAGCGACCGACATGCTGCTATGTTGTTATTCCTTCCAGTTTAATGGCGGCCGACAAACATGTTCTAGCTTTTCTACCGCCGCCTACAGGCCGGAGTTTTTTTTTTTTTTTAACTTTATTCAACAAGAAGAATACAGTACAGTCATCCAAAGGTACAAAGATATAAGAGTGTATTCAACATACATCCACCGAACCAGAATAGAAACAAACAAAGAAAGAAAGACAAAGAATACAAAAAAGCTAGGGGGGGGTGTATTATCTAACCAGGAATTTTAAATAAGGTGCATAAATTAATTGTTTTGATGGCCTTTGTATAATCAGAAAAAAAATATTGAAGAAATGTATTGTTTGAACTTTTTTTAAAAAAACCAAGAATAGAGGTTTTCTATTTGTGAATTTACATTTGGGCCGGAGGCGCTAATGGGTGGACTCGTTTCCCCCCATGTAGTCACTGAACAAAGTTATTTATATAGAACCAGCATGGCTATAGCAACATTCCTTGTTGTAACAGGGATCAGTTGCAATATATAACGTGTAAAAAATTATAATACAGCATTAGGGTAAAGGGGCTAGGGCTTCTATTTTAAATTATATTATGTTCTAAAGTTATTGATTAGAAAGTCAGCTTTAGAGTTGTCCATGAGGAGTTATTATGTTCTTCTGAGTAAAGTCTCTGAGCTGATGAATCTGTGGTTGAAGCCATTCATATACATCATGCCAAAAGACCTTCACATATATGCAGTTATAGATTGAATTCCAATCCAACCTTAACCGAGCACTGGGAGGATATAATCCATTTAAGGTTTTGAAATTAAGGTCTTTGGTTTTGGAATGGATGGGGAATTTTAAGTTTTTGGTTCGGAACAACCAAGCGGTTTCCTTTGAATATACTGTATGTGTGAAACAGAATTTCTGTAACAAGAAGTAGGTTACGAGATGCTGTTAATATCTGTTATCCCCTTACCAAAAAGGTAGTATATGCAAGTATGCTTCAAGTATATTAAATTTAAACTAAAAATGAGAGTATACTTTGTTTACTTTTTAAGTACTTAGAATAAGTTATTCTAACTCACAAAAAAAGTACTTATCAGAGATATACTTAACAAAGTTTAAGTTAACTATACTTGGCTTATACTAAAAGTCTAAGTATATTGAGCCTATACTTATATTTAAACTTTTGACCATGATATACTTTAGTAGTACATTAATAGTACATTTTCACACATACTGGTTTCTTTGTGGTATACTACATGTTTTTAAAGATTGAGGATTGGTGTAGGTGAAACTGAACCACCGTCATATACACAATGACATTATTAACCCACAGGGACAGAAATCAAATGTCTGAATTTTATTTGAAACCAAATTTGACATTTTTTAATTGATTCATACTGGCATTAGCCACCATAACACATGTGCTTTTTTAAATGTATATACAATACATAAAAACAAGACAAATGGCAAAAGGAGGTCTCCACTACAACACTTGTTTTGCAGTTGTATGACTAAGGCTACTCATGGGAGCTCTTTTAATCTCGTTCACATGGATTTGGCAAAGGTGTAACGTACAATTTGTCAGCGGTTTCAACAACATTTCACTTTTATCATATCAGGCCAGATGGAACTTAAGTTTCCAGTCTTTCTAACCTCATGTATGAAATCACTGTACATTTATCTGTGAATCTTTAGCCTGTTAGATTTAGCCAGTTCCTCAACCAAAATACAGCAATATTTGGCACAAGCACAATATCCAGGGTTCTGATGTGCACACTTTTGTTTAAAGACAACCAAATTATTAAACACAACTGACCAACTTTCAGGTATACAGCACTGTTGAACCTTTTCTTTATTCTGTCATATGTCTGACTGTGATACAGAGCTCCATCAACCAAAAAACGTCTGTAATACCAAAAGCAGTTGCTTAGATTTCCACATTGTTCAACAATGGCAAGCCTACACTATGTGAGGCTGGGATATTTTCTTGCAGTGGGGGATGACCAAAACCTTTGATACTTCCATTTAGTGTGTCACATTTATCTGTTCTATGCTTAGAGACATCAAGTTTTTCAACAAATGACTGCACCTTTGTATTTCCAGAGGTGATAGTGTGTTTGGCCTTTTCTGGCAATTCTCTCCACATCAGAAATTTTCTAGCAATCTGTGAAGGGACATAGTGAGTACCATGAAAATATTTAAGTAGAGTGCCCATATTGGACTCAAATGGAAATGTTGAGGTAGCCCATAAAGGCCCCCAGTGTTTGACAAGGAAATAAAACATGTGTGAGCAAGTGTATGTTGAAAGTCATGTGGTTCTTTCCATAAAGTCTTTGAAACTCAATAACAAATTTTTCAAGAGCCACTTCTGTAATCAAGATGCTTCTAGCAGTCTTGATTGTATCCTGCAGTAATGTGTATATGCTGAATACCAAAAGGAATAGATTATTCCAAAATCTGACAGGGAGTATACCTTTCAATATGGGCAACGCATAGAAGAGGAGAAAGGCTCGCCATTCGGAAGCTTTCCAGAATTTTCTTTCACTAAGTGACCTTGGTGTCCTGGTTATCTCAACAGGAGGCTTTATTTTTTCAAAATGATCTTCAATCTCTTTTATCTGTTTACCAATGTACCAGGGGGCTTCACTGTTTGCTGTATCAAGCCACAGTGTAGACAGTTGCCGAGTGACTCCAAGGCACACATTGTGTTGATATTCAGGAATGAAACCGTTTATCATTTGGAAGTGACCAAGCATCATTAAAGGAGATGGACCTTTAACTCCAAACACTGGCTCATCAACTGATGCTGACATTGCATGACTAAAATGATCCTTCTCATTTCGCAGGGGGGGTTCAGGTCTATCATATGGATATGTCTTCCCACCTTTGTGATAGCAAAAATCACAGCCATAAAAGCCGTTGAACTGCTTTGTGTTACGAAGCAACGGCCGAGCCACAGAATCAGAGCTACAAATCAGCACATACACTTTAGAAACATGACGGTTACCCTCAATGTCTTGCCAATCAACACCTTCAGTCTCCAATAATGATGCTTCTTTGAGAAATGGTGTTAGTAATGTAAAAATGGATGGCTTACCAGGCCCAAACCATAAAGCAGACATTAAAATGTGATTTTTCCTTACATCTGGATGCAGTTCTGTGACCTGATATTGAATTGGCCAAATGCTGCATTTCGAACTTTTGAAGACTGGTGCTCCATCACAATTCCAAATTAATGACAAGTCATCTTTCCCAAGAACTCCACTATAGCTTGGATGGAGAGACATACAA